TCACGGCATAGTGGCGAGGGAGTTTTTCAGGAAGTACAAGATCCCTGCCGGTGTAGATCCAGGGGCCATCACCTCTTCTCTATCCTCTGACGGCGTGTTGACCATCAACACACTTCGCCATCAGCTGGACATCCTTGAACGCAGCATCCCTATCATCTGTGGAGAGAAACCACCAGCACAGAAATGAACCTGTCCAGAGCTGCACCTCTCATTTCCAAACAAACCCCACACTTCTGTATTACAACACAATATCACAAGCTTTAATGCAGTGCAGCAGAACCAAACATATTAGAGATATACCTGTCCATAAGTGAACAACACACCATCAGACAGTTGGTTGGTGCTTTAGGTCAGTAAATGCAGGTTATTATGAAAGTTGGGTTTGGTTTGTTATATTTATGGCCTACAGTTGGACGTTGTATGTAATTATGTGGTTGACTTGGATGATGATTGTAACTTGGGCTTTGAGAGGAAGCTGTACTGGAATGGGATGTTGTGCATTTGTATCTAAATTGAATAAATCCCCATATTAAAATAATAATAATTAATTTTTTTTGCTTGTTTATTTAACAGGGATAATACACTTGACATTGTTATACAAAGATAACCGATGTTGCGTTCATAAAGCTAATTTGCAGCCCTCGTCCCTGGTTAGGCTTTACATTAAACAAATTTAAAAATAAACAAACAATAGAAAAAAAAACACAATACGGCACACATACTGTATACAATATTTACAGAGCCACAAACATAATGTAAGTCAATCTACATAAAGAGAAATGAAAACCTGACCCACCTAGAAGAATAATACTTTATGCTCACATTGCTGTAAAGATTTCAACCATTCTTTCAGCTTTACAGAAAAAAACTGTGAGTTCTGATTGTACTGTAACTTTTAATAAATAGGCATGGCATTCCATAGATGTGAACCTTTTACTGAAAAAGATGACTGACCCACAGCGGTACAGCATCTGTGGATTCTGCAATTCCCCCTTACTGCCCCTCTTGTCTTTGCTCCATCACTGCTGAATTTATGTATCAACTCACAGACTACTTTAGGTGCAAGACTACACTTAAACATTTTTTTTTAAATGAGAACTTTAAAAAACATTAAAACTTAAGTTATATTTTTTAAGAATTTGACAATGGTGCCATTTTATTGGTTTCTGATCCAATGCTTTTAAAGTTTGTTTGTAAAGTGACATTAGAGGCTTAACAACTGACTGAGTAGCTTGACCCCAGATTATTGCACAATGAAGTCAGAATTATTAGCCCCCCTGTTCATTTTTCCTCAATTTTTGTTTAACGGCGAGAAGATTTTTTCAACACATTTCTAAACATAATAGTTTTAATAACTCATTTCTAATCATGGATTTATTTTATTTTTGCCATGATGATAGTAAATGATATTTTTTCTAGATATTTTTCAAGACACTTCTATACAGCTTAAAGTGACATTTAAAGGCTTAACTAGGTTAATTAGGTTATAGGCAGGTTAGGGTAATTGGGCAAGTTATTTTTTAACAGTGGTCTGAATAAAATTTAGCTTAAAGGGGCTAATAATTTTGACCTTAAAATAGTTAATAAAATATTAAAAGCTGCTTTTCTTTTAGCCGAAATAAAACAAATAAGACTTTCTCTAGAAGAAAAAAATATTATCAGACATACTGTGAAAATGTCTTTGCTCTGTTAAACATTATTTGGAAAATATGTTAAAAAGAAAAAAAAAATCAAAGGGGGCTAATAATTCTGACTTCTACTGTATGTGATAATATCATAGCATGCACAAAATTTCCGCTGCTTTAAGATACATGCATATATATATGGTCTTTTCAGTGTTATTTAATTTGGATCTGAATGAAAATCAGAATCATTTCTCAATTTAATATTTGAGTCTAAATCAATAGAATAAAGACACATTTACACCATGGATGTTGCTATGACTATTATATATAAATAAGTACACCTCTCACTGATCTTTTGTTAGTACACCCAAATTAATATGTTGGTTAAAAGTATTAAATAAAATTGTTATAAATATGAAACATCAGGAGAAACATAAAACATATTACATTCAGTTGAAATTTCATAGTTTGTCTTTTTTTTTTAAGTATCTTGATTAATGCATTATCTTTCTAATCCTAAAGACGTTCAGTGACCAAACCTTTATTTATATTACTGTTTATTAAACTGTTTCGTTTAAATCCCCCCAAAAATGGCTATATTCACTGAGAAATGCACTGTAAAAAAATCTGTAATTTTACAGTTTATTTCCAGCAGCTGCAGGTGCCGAAAAAAAAAGAAGTAAAATAACGGCTGTTAAATTTTCGAAATTTACTGTAAAATAACAGAGGTTAAAATTTACCAAAAATTTAAATTTAAGGAAATTTCTGTAATAAAATGTGCGTTATTTTACATTAAATTTCTGTAATTTAACGGATGTTATTTTACTGGGTTTTTTACGGCACCGCAGCTGCCGGAAATAAACCATAAAATTACGTTGTTTTTTTTAACAGTGTGGATACAAATTTTCATTTTCAAAGGTGGGAGTGTAGTCCTTTATGCTGAGCACTGTATATAGAGTAGTCCACACAATCATAAAGATTATGACAGAGCAGAACAATATCGATAGTATCTGTTCAGAGCTTTTTTTTTTTTTTTAACAGCTGACGAATAGTTATAATATTGAAAACTAATCACAATCCATGTTGCTTTTTAAAATCTTAAGCATTTTAAATTACAGATATCTGAAACGATGCATGCAAAGCGTGATGCAGATTACACATTAAAGTGGATGCTAATATAGTTTTCAATTAAAGTTGTTGCGTTTAATTTACAGTAATTTAAGAGCCTTTTAAAAATGAGCGATGATTTGCAAGTCACTAAGACTAAAAATATGTGCTAAATTGTCAAAAAAATTGTCAAAAGGGGTTAATTAAAAACAACAACACATGAATTTGAACCATTTACGGCAGATGTGCTGTTATTGACATAGTTTAATCAGTCATTTGTTCATTATATATATCTTACATATGTGTTACAACAAGTAAATAGTTGCTACTTCAAAACTGAAAACAATCTAAAAATATATGATTGTTTCTTTTTCTTTGTTACCCTCTTGTGAATGACAAAATATTCAGATTACGATATTAATATTCATGAGCAGTTGCAATATAAACCACAATAAACTGTATGCAATACTTTTTTCTACTTTTCCCCCAATGTTCAGTTGTCTTTGGGAACAAATTATATTCAGAGGAGATAAAGTTATTTTGTAATGAGCAATAAGCTTTATTTTTGTATAGGGATAAAAACAATGTGTAAGGAGCTTTATGTAGGAATTTTCATGAACTAATTTAATGCCAGTGTGTGAACAGCCTGTAATTAAACACAACATTTAAAATCATTAATGACAAAGCCTTAAAGTTACGTTTGTACTTTATTGTAAAATCTAAAACTATGCAAAATGGACACACTTAAAAAATCTAAAGCGTTTTGAATTTAGTTTTAAATAGATTTTTTAAATATATTTGCAAAAAATGCATGCATGTTTACGAATAAATAATTTATTTACTTATAATAGTAAATGTGACTGACCCTTCTACTTTTTTATTTATTTATTTTTTATTAAAAGTTTGAAAAACATTAACAACAATTGTCATCAATCCAGGCATTTTCAGTGATTTAGACCAAGTCAAGTGACAAGTCCTTCATCAAAGTCCTTGTTCGTATTGCTTTTAAGTTTGTTGATCCCTCAACAGACTCAAAATACATTTTCATTTAAATTTAGGGGGAAAAAAAACACTTACAAAACTCGCTGGTTTGAGCCTCGGCTGGGTCAGTTGACATTTCTTTTTGGTTTCTTCCTGGTTCTCCGGTTTCCCCCACAAGTCCAAAGACATGGTGAATTGGGTAAAATTGTCCGTAGTGTATGTATGTGAATGAGTGTGTATGGATGTTTGCCAGTGATGGGTTGCAGCTGGAAGGCCATCCGCTGTGTAAAACAAATGCTGGATAAGTTGGGAGTTTCATTTCGCTATGGGGACCCCAGACTAATAAAGGGACTTAGCCAAAGATGAATGAATGAATGAAACTGTGAATATGAAATTTGGCCTATAAAACAATAAGGTTTGTGAAATAAGTATTACTTTCCTTTATCACATTCATGGAAACCAAAGATAATATTCCTATATGTAAACTAAATTCAAAATCTGCCTTCACATTCTTTCACCGCGGTGACTGAAGCTCTGCACAAGACTTTTGGCCAGCGGAGAAATTAAAATGGTCGTGCCCAACTGAGTCTGGTTCTCTCAAGGTTTTTTTTTCTTCACTCTCATCAGGTGAAGTTTTTTTTTTCTCTCTCCGCTGTCGCCACTGGCTCGCATGGTTCAGGATTGGTAGAGCTACGCATTGATGAATTTGCTCTTCAGTGTTTGAACTCTCAGTAATGATTATATCACACTGAACTGAGCTAAACTGAACTAAACTGAACTTAAACACTAAAAACTGAACTACACTGTTCCAGTTACTATGACCATTTATGTGAAGCTGCTTTGACACAATCTACATTGTAAAAGTGCTATACAAATAAAGCTGAATAGAATTTAATTGAACATAATATTGTATAAAATCAAGAAGATCACATCAAACTATCATTGAATGAGGGCAATTCCTAAATAAACGAACAGAAGTTTCAGGATTCACTAGCATAAAGAACAGTCGGTGTTAATGTCATTCTTAATTTTTTTAAGTTTACACTTGTCTGGAGAACATCTAGGTATCAGACTGACTGACCCTTCTATTTCCTTACTATCATACCATGGCCTTTTACGTATATCAAGTAATACTGTCCGCATGCGCAGTGTGTTTTCTCCACCGTTAGATGTCGCCGTCTATCCTGCTTCAGCTCATCGGCTTCTGACACGGAGCAACTTTTTCCGGTTGGACTCTGGAGACGTGGCTCTGTTTCTTCAATATTACGAGTGAAGCTATATGCTACTGTTAAACCAGAGCGGAAGTCACCATTCTGACACTTTCGGTTTTTGAACCAACTGGACAGTGTCCGTGACCGTGTCCACTGACGGGTCCTCGGTAAAAGGGAACAGAAATGGTAAGAGTGTTTGTTTTGTGTGTTTAGCAGAATGAAGCTAACAGCTAGCGTTTTAGCTAATCACTCATACAGTCGAAAACTGTCTTCTTGTCCGTGTCACTTACTAAAGAGTGTCTAGTTCATCTGTTTGCGTTTTAAAAAATATCACAGAAATAGGGAAATTTGTTAATGGCTAGATTTTGATATCTGATACTGCTAGCCAGCTAAAGGTTAGCCAGCTAATTAGATTGACATCAGGATTAATTATAAAGTAAATAATAAAAGTAAATCGGTTTTGATATGACTAAATATTGATATAATAAACTGCATTTATTTTTTACAATGTTATTTAATTATTTCCATATTGCAAGTTTTTGCAGATAACATGTTGTAGCTAACTTAGCTGACTGACAATTCAAATGCTGACCTGTGGCTCTTACAAAATTCACTCTTTTCACTATTTACTTAATAATTTTAATAAGGTAAGTAATATAATACTGTAATATTATAATATAATGCAATATTAAAAATGTAAATATTAATGTAATAATGATTTCCATTCTTTTTCTACACCACTCAGATAGTTTTATAGTTTAATTGTATTTGTTTAGTCTACGTGAATTTGGTAACTATATTTAAAATATATATATATATTACAGTGTAACAATTTATGAATAATTTTTATTGATGTTTGTTAACAATTTAATTTTTTTTATTAATTGTCCCAGCAGGCACAGGACGTCAACATGATGTCAGATTAATGTTGTACCCCAATGTTGTGGGAATGTTGTTTTGTTTAGAAACGAAAATCAAGTTGACGTTAGAACCCAACGTCAGGCTGACGTCAGTGTCCAACATCCAACCTAAAAGTGACCAAATATCAACGTCAAATGATGTTATAGCTTGAAGTTGTGTGGACGTTACCACTTTGTCGTTTATCAGACATTGTAGTTTAGTTGTCATACCTGACGAATAAATGTCAGTGTTTGACGTCAATCTGACAGTTTAAGATGTTGGCTCAATGTTGGATCTTGGTCAGTTTCCTACATAACTTAAATATCATCTTTATTTGATGTCATTATTTGATGTCAAAATAACGTTTTCCTTAGACACTGGCTAGACATTGAATTTTGGTCACCTGACGTCACAACCTAAATCTTACCTAATTTTAACATTTTTATGACGTTGTGTGTCTGCTGGGGTGTATGGTATTATTTTGATCATTACAGACTTTAAAAAAATGTTTAAATGAAACATTGGCTTATTTTGCATGGTTAATTATTTACAACGATTTATGCAATTCTACGGTACAAATGTGTTTTTGTATTTGACACATCTTACAGTAAAACATACATTTTTGCATATTTCTCTCTTAAATCTTTATTTTTTATATGGTGTTACAGTAAAATATCATTATATACATTGAATTTCAGTTTTAGTAATTTTATTCAGCTTATTTTTTGAAGTATTTCTGTTAGTGATGTCTCTGATTTGCTTATGTTTTGCTATAGATTGGACCTGTTATGTAATTTTGTTTTGCATGGAGTTTGAACATAAATATGTCACAACAGCACAGTGCTTCAAAACATGCTGTTATATTTTTTTCTGTTTGCTTTCATTTTAGTCCAGATTCAGTATATAATATAAATGTGATTTCTTAGCTGTTTATGCTCGCATGACTGTTTTATCTGAATTTTTTGTTTGTGACAATCTTGTCTATGCTTAATTAGGGCTTGGCTATATTTTTGTGATAACATAATATCATGTTTCAAATCATTCTATATCGATAATTATTGAATATTTTTTAGCAATACATTTAGGAATATTAGGATTTTTTTATTTATTTAATCATCTTATTTTAATTTACCAACAATGCTAGGGCAAATACTTTTAATAGTCAAAAACAAAAATATTTAAAATATCAGATCTCTTTATATTAAAATAATATTAAAACAATAAAAAATAACAACAAAATAAGTCTTAAAGAGAATATTAAACTTGATGAATAAAATGTTATTAAGTGTGTGTAATGCTAAAGATACATCAACATCTGTAAGGTGTGAATAATATTGATACAGTAAACCTCAAACTCTGTAAACAAACAAATTATGTTAAGAAAATTTGCGCTTTTGAGTAAAAGAACTAACCGTTATTATACTAATACATAATACAACATTACAAATTTTGAAGTTGAATGGCAATTAATAAAAAAATGCAGATGGGGAGCTAGGGGCTGGGATGCACAAGAAAAGAAACCAAGAAGCCACTCTGGCGACATCCTTGCATCCTTATTTTTATTTTTTATGTTTTTACGATCTCCTCACTTTCGCTATTCTGACTTGAAGTGACAAGTGTGATGATATCCTTCACTGTTTACAATGAGCTTTGCGCTCACTCTCCCCTGGCGTCTCTCACACTTAGGAGACCATCAACCGTTTTCTCAGAGGATGACAAACGGACAAACCATTGCTGCAGCTCCGATGCAAGTTTATGGAGAAAAGTAAAAAGCACTGGAGTGTTTGGGTGCACTGTGTTTGTCTTAGCTAATTAGTCTGCTGTTATTACTGAAATGTGTATATGCCGTACAAAGTGTGAAGCAGATTGGTCAGTTCTACTTCCATGAATTGCGGTGCGCTGGTGACATTTGGAAAAGTTCTGATGTTTTTAACTGTGGGCGCCTGGGAAATGCGTGCATCACTTGTGTGCTGCTTGCACAACATGTCGCTCCCATACACACATTATGCAAGTCACCCACCTCCATTGGAAATGACAAATTTACACCCTAAGCTTATTGGCATTGCTTCCAAGTTGGGTGCTCAGCTGCCACTTTTTAACAAAACTATAGCCTTCATACCCAATTTTTTTTTAATCTATTGACAATGGTGTTTGGTCAAAAAATATCAATACCGATTTTATTGCCCAGCCCTATGCTCAATAAGACACAAAAGAAAACCTAATAGTCATATATTAAATGCACTGTCTGACAGCTGTATTTCCTATTCAGCCCTGTTGGATTTTTAATATCAGTCAAATGTTTGCAGGTGCTCTTGGCAGCAGCGGTGTGTACTAAGGCGGGGAAAGCCATAGTGTCACGCCAGTTTGTAGAGATGACGCGAACCCGTGTCGAAGGCCTGCTAGCTGCCTTTCCCAAACTGATGAACACAGGCAAGCAGCACACTTTTGTGGAAACAGACAGTGTGCGCTACGTCTACCAGCCTCTGGAGAAACTCTATATGGTTCTGATCACTACAAAAAACAGCAACATTTTGGAGGATTTGGAGACGCTAAGACTTTTCTCCAGAGTGGTAAAGCTTTCTTTTTCATTCCTTCTATTTTTAAACTTTTTGGATGTTTCTTAAATAAGTGTTTGGGTTAAGATTTTGATGTATATTGAATAAGTGATTGTATATATTTTTTCTCAGATCCCTGAATATTGCAGAGTGTTGGAGGAAAGTGAGATCTCGGAGCACTGTTTTGATCTCATATTTGCATTTGATGAGATTGTAGCTCTCGGCTACCGGGAAAACGTCAATCTAGCCCAGATTCGCACTTTTACCGAAATGGACTCGCATGAAGAAAAAGTCTTCAGAGCTGTCAGAGAGGTCCGACATTATCTGAAATTTTATGAAACTTCAAAGCAAAATTATGCTCTTCTTTCAAAATCAATAGAGCCGACTGTAATTTTCTTGTTTTTCTATCAATGTTCCATTAACAGACCCAAGAAAGAGAGGCAAAGGCTGAAATGAAGCGCAAAGCCAAAGAGCTGCAGCGAGCAAGACAAGACGCTGAACGTGCTGGAAAGAAATCACCAGGATTTGGAGGTTTTGGAAGTTCTGGAATGAGCAGCATCACGTCAGCCACCATCATCACAGATACAATAGAACCGGAGAAACCCAAAGTGGCTCCTGCTTCAGTCAGGTATGAGCGTTTGAACTTGATCACATCTAAATACATAATCGTGCAAAAGGTAATTCATACCTCACTGAATTCCTGTAGGCCGAGTGGATCCAGTAAAGCACTGAAGCTGGGTGCCAAAGGGAAAGAGGTGGATTTCTTTGTGGACAAGCTGAAGTCAGAAGGAGAAAATATTGTCACGACCAGTGCAGGAAGAAAAGCGTCAGAGGCATCTAAAGTTCTTCAGCCTCCAGTGAATATGGAAAGGTATTGCTTACTGATTTCCACAGTCACATTATTCTCCTCATAATATGTTATATTTGTTTTCTACATTCAGTCAATCAGCTTTTACTGTAAATCCATCTATAATGTAAAATAATAATACATAATATAATGTAAAATAATAATAAAATAATTGTTTATTTTCTTTTTTATGTATTTTTTAAATCAGTGCTGTTCTTTTCAACTTCGTTTATTAAATTTTCTTGGAAAAAAAATTAACACTTATTTTTAAATTTTACTTTTTATACCATAATGGCAATATTTTAGGCTTATGGTAGTTTATAAACTCTGTTTTCAAGTGTACATCTGAGGGTGGAGGAGAAGATCTCTCTAACCTGTGGTCGTGATGGTGGACTACAAAACATGGAGGTTCTGGGCATGATAACTCTGAAAGTGGCAGATGAAAAAAATGGCCGCATCATCATAGTCGTCAACAACAATGACAAAAAAGGAGCCCAATTACAGGTGCGTGAGGCACAACATTAAGGCTCAATTCTATTTTTGTACCCCTTCCCCTTGGCCCTTGAAACAGAGTGTGAAGGAGAAGGGCTTCAAAATTTACCCCAAAGAATTGGGACCGCACCTGCACACATCATCATATGTCATCGCGATCTTTTGTGCTTCATATGAGATCAGACGATGGTAACTGCTGTAGTTATTCCAATTGCTTTATATAGGCATATATTAAGTTATAATGATGATATAATGTGGCTAGGGCTGGGCGAAATTATTATTTTTTTTCCATTAATTCGAATTTGTGTTTTAAGACAATTTAATTTTGAATTTAATCGAGAAATCACAAATTTTTTTATTTATTTATTTTTATAAAAAAAAACATTAGATACATTATAATTGCACCAATGTGCTTTAGTTCACTCTCTGTATTACCTTACTGCCTGTCTGGGTTTCAACCATGGTAGTGACAGACTAAACACAGAGACTGGACAGCCTAATTTAACCCAATGCATGAAATTGTGGGCATGCATCGCAGAGCTGCTGCAAATACAACAACGCTACTCCACCACTGTCTGACGAGGGGATTTACATTCAGACTAATGCAACTAGTAAAATCCTACATAACTTCACGCTTTACTAAGTCATGTCTTTGTGGATTGTCAAGACATATTCTCTTATCAAGTTGATAAACTCGATCTCTCAACATGTACAAAGGACGTAAAAACCTGTCATGTGAAAAATCGCGTATCTTAGTTTGAACCGCGCTTATCGGCTTTAATCAGGCTGGCTTCTGTAAAGATCAGACAGCCTATACAGATCACACAATCTCGATAAACACCATGATAATGTATAAATATTTCGATATATATTGTTAATGGAATATTTATAACGATATGATCTTGCTTTTGGTTATATGCCGGCTTTGAGCTCTTTACGCATGCTCTCACTCTCTCACCAACCGGCAGATGAGATCCGCTGCATAAGAGCGCTAACTACATACACTGGCAAGATAACAGGCACTACAGTACATGGGACCAGTTTTATTTGTTACTGGTTCTTATTTTATAATGCTTTTTATTTTTAAAACCAGGTAACATAATCTCCCTCAGAGGTATGGGAGTTTAATAACGTAGTGTGCAGTAACCAACACCGCCCTGAAAGCTTACACACTGCATAGACTATAGGCCTACAGCCTTAGTGAGTTATGAATTGCATGTTTTAAATGACAGGGAGACATGCTACATTTAGTTTTTATTGTAAAATATAAATAATAACCCAGTACACAGTGAAATAATAATTTTTGAATGGCTTTAATTCTATTGGCGGCGTAGCTATATAGCTTTTAAGCTTAAATAGACTAAGCATATTTTTATTAATATTAAAACACATTAGTACAAACTAGGTATCCTTTTTTTTCGTTTCTGTATATTTTTAATCAAACGAAAAATGCAATGAATTGTTTATTTTGGCTTTCATTTTATTAGAATTAATATAATAATTAGGTGACACAACTTCTCCATAACATTGGCTCTGATTGCATTTACAGATATCCTACAAATAAACAAACACTCTTGTAGGCTGATTCATTATTGATTTTTTTTACATTAACCGCATAATAATCAAGTGCAAAATAGAAGAGCTGCCCTTTGGAAAAAGTGCTTGCTGCGGTTGCCGCGATGGATGCTTGTTTCTCTGCAGTTGGCTTGTCAATGGTGCGGCATTGCTAAACCACTTTTGTTTTAATAAAAAATAAGATTATTTGTTAAAAAACATTGAGATGATTGTCGCGTGATTTTTCTTATGAGAGTATGCGATGCATAATTATGGCTATTGCATAATTATGGCTATATGGCTATTGATCATTAATCAATAATAAAATCAAAAATACAGTGAAGATGCTTAAAGCACAGTTTCAACATAACAGATTGAATAACTCATTTCTAATAACTGATTTCTTTTATCTTTTCTATGATGACCGTACATTATATTTTACTAGATGTTTTTCAAGATACTCAGCTTAAAGTGACATTCCAAGGCTTAATTAGGGTAAATAGACAAGTCATTGTATAACAGTAGTTTCTTCTGCAGACAGTCAAACATAAATATTGCTTAAAGGGGCTAATAATATCGAGCTATTAAAATAGGTTTCAAAATATTCAAACCTGCTTTTATTCTAGCTGAAATAAAACAAATAAGCCTTTCTCCAGAAGAAAAAAATATTATAGGAAATACTGTAAAAAAAAAACCTCTGTTAAACATCATTTGGGAAATATTTATAAATAAAAATAAATTCACAGAAGGGCGAATAATTTTGACTTCAACTGATAATCGTTTTGAATAATCGTGTGATTATGATTTTTCCCATAATCCAGCAGCCCTACCACCCATAGTTAAACATCAAGTAGCTGACATTTTGATTAGCTGACCAGCGGATTAAGGACAGGATTTGTGAATATGAAAGAATCGCACATAACAGGGTTTTATGCGTCCCAAAGATGCAATGGCAAGAGAATGACTCCATAAGGTAACGTACACTGCACACACTTTGTATAATGTGTGAAGTCGTGGACGCATAAGCGCAAGGATATCTAGTACTTTAAATGTCCATGCTTAATCTTTAATAGATAAGGTCTGGATTCACAGGGTAATCAACAATGTGTGTAATGTTTTAGGCTTGGAACAGCCTTCTGTTAAAAGATTTTTGTGTTCATCCTTGCTACAAGCAAAAAAAAAATAAAAAAAATCAACAAATAAACTTCATTGAAACAATTTATGTATGGCATGGCCATTAAAAATACAGTGTTCCTTAACCAGATGGTTTTTCTAGTTACTCATAAAGAGAATGTTACTTCAGTCATGTTATTGTAATGTTTTAAGTTGACTAGTTACACAATAAAAAAAAGAAAAATTAAAATCGTGAATCGGTCAAACTTTTAAAAAAAAATATCTTGATTTTTTTTTTTTTGCCATATCACCAAGCCCTAAATGTGGCAATAAGATCATAACTATACTGTACATTTACACAGTGGCCATATTCATCAATGTAAACACAAATAACAACATTTACATTATAGCAGACCCTTTAAAAAGGTCATTCTCAGCCACAAGACTTTTCTGACAGAGTATTCGAGTGTCATCGAGTGACAGAATGTTGTGGGACTGTTCTACAGGAGTCATTATTAGCGATTATAGATAGTGAAATTTATCGTTTTTTGATTTAGCGCTTTCTTTTAAAGCATGATGGTAAAACACGAATGCGGTTATGAATGTATCAAAACATGTGCTTGTTTGTAGTAAAAATTCATGAAGTTGACTAAAATACGAGTTTGTTGATCTCCTTACTTTTGGGTGCAGCTATCCTGCTGGTGTGGCTGGTGTATTCTGGGAAATTTTTACTTACCCTTTGGTTTTGAGTGTGGTCCTAATTAAATCTCAGTTTAAAGGGGCATCTACCCCTTCCCCTTAGCCCTTCGACTTTAAGCTAAAGAGAATTGAGACACCCGTACCCCTCATTTTGCATGTTCATGTGAAGGGGTAAGGGGAAGGCCTAAGGGGTGGAATTGGAATTGGGCCTAAATGTTATAATTTTGAGATTTAATTTCAAGGGCAAGCTGTTTACAATCAGCTATTAAAAGGCAGTCTATTAGTTTGGATGTTTAAAAATGTTTTTTTTTTCCTCATTTATTCTTCAGACTCACCCTCATGTTGATAAAAAGCTTTTCACCAACGAATCTCTGATTGGTCTGAAGAACCAAGAGAAATCCTTTCCTCTCAACAGTGATTTGGGGGTCCTAAAATGGAGATTACAGAGCACAGATGAATCTCTCATTCCTTTAACCAGTGAGTCATTGTTTTTTTCTGCAAAAATTGTTGATTGATTAAAGTTATTGATGTTTAGGAATTTGTAAAAAAGCACTTTTAGAAATATTAATCATACATTGATTCAATGTTGTTCTCTCAGTCAACTGTTGGCCATCAGAGAGTGGAAGTGGAAGCGGCTGTGATGTCAACATTGAGTATGAGCTTCAGGACGAAGGGCTTGAACTTAATGATGTTGTCATTACTATTCCTGTGCCGTAAGTGCCTTTTCCGTTTCCAATAAATCTTTTATTTTATATTTATGTATTTCTTTAAACATTTTGGCAGTGTTGTGGTCTGTGTGCAAAATTTTTCAAAAAGGCAAAGGAAAATGTTTAGGTGTTAGCTCATAGTTTATCTTTAAAACATTGATTTAAAGTAACCCTTCACGTTTTTGGAAATGGGCTTGTTTTACAAATCCCCTAAAGTTTAAGAGTTGACTTTAGCTATTTTTAAAAATTTTATTCAGCCAATCTCCTGGTCTGGCGGAGCATTTATATTGTGTTTTAACTTAGCATAAATAATTGAATCGGAAATAGACCAGCATTGCTCGTTTCTCAGTCATGGTCCTCTCTTGTGCACGTTTGTTCTCTCGTGCGTCTGTCGCATTCTCTCTGCTTTCCCTTCACTTTTGGCCAGTGTTCTTCAGTTTTGTCCAAAAATCATGCATCCTAGTCCTCCAAGGCACAAGAGAATTTTACATTAAATACCTTTAAGTAGACTACAGCCTTTGCAAGACTATCAGCTATGTAAAACTGAGTTTTCGTGGCATGGAAGTAGCCTACCATTCATCTTCATCGTTTCAAAAAAGTAAAGTGCATTTGTTTAAACTGTTTGCTAACTTTGGGACATTTGCAACTAGATCAGTATAGTTGCAACTTGTGAGCATCACATGGCGCAATCACCTCATGATGCAAAGTGATGATTATTTAAATACTGCTACCTGAGATTATCTTAAATTAAACTGTGCAAATAGAGTGAGACAAAATCAGCAGACAGCAGCAGTTTTTTTTTTTTTTTCAGTGGATGCTAAAAACTTTACATTTGTGCACTGACTAAGCAGTGAACGTTACCTGTCCTTCTACATCCGTTTCAAAAATAAATATTTGTTGTTTATTTATTATTTATATTTTTGATATTTCTACAAATTCTGCTTCTTAATCTAATTGTCATCATGTTTTTATACTACTTTATTTAATGTTTATTTAATGATTTAATGTGAATATCATAGGAGTACAACATTTGCTTTGCTTTTTGTTTATTTATATTTTGGTTATTTAGAGAAGTATTAAATATTGGAATATATTATATATAGACATTTTAAATATTAGTTTAAAATGTCAAAATTAAAGATTATTAAACTTGATGTATGTCTTTTTGTATATTAAAAGTACAGATTTATACATGAATAATTCCCTAATTTGCAGTTTTATAACGTTATAAGCAAAACATCAAATTAAAGTTTTTATTTCTTTTTTTTATCTCATTAATTTAAAAAAGTAATCATTCCTGCGAATCATTATCAAAATAGTCGTAGTCGCAGCCCTACTCCTATTTAACATACCAGAATTAAACCATTAGTTTTTGATATTTGATAAATTTATATTTTTTTCTATTTAAAGCTTCAACAAGGAAACTGGTGCAGCAGCAAAATTCCTTGATTATTACACCAGAATGAGAGTGTAGTTCCTAGCCATACCAGCCTAGAACAGGGCTATTCAATTAGTTTGTCATGGTGGCCAGTTCATAAAAAGCATCCCAATTAAGGGGGCGGAGAGAAGTGATGACACTACAGCAATATAAGAGCCCATATGCTTTATTTTTGCTCCTTAAGACACCCATGTTGGCAATTTCTACATTAAAACGTTAAAATGTTGTATTTCAACATTGCATTGCTGTATTGCAAAATCAGTGTATTGCTCAAGAAGGCTTCTTGTACATTTAAACACTTATATGTTATGTTTTAAACTGCTTAACAAATAAAGATACAACACTTATAGATTTTGGTTGTACAATTATATAGTCTGCAGAATAATCATGGTTTCACGGTCATCTCGATTATTATGCATTTATTAAATTCAAAACACTACTAGTTAAGAAAGTCACAAGAAAACTGCTTATATTTTAAAGTGTTGTTTATTGCTGCTCAGTAACCAAATACAGCCCATAATATTAATAAAAAACAAACAATAGTCCATTTCTCTCTTTGGACTTAAAAATAAATAAAGTTTTAGACCTAAACATGAGTGATAATTTTACAATGAAAATAAATGACAGAACAATGAATAAATAAATATAAATTTGAATAAATAAAGTATTTGTCTATTTAAGAATTTAAATGAACTGTTGTTACTATCTGCGTTCATACATACACAGTCATTTTAATAATTTAATAATTTGTCTGACGTATCTTTTGTTAACATTCCACTGACAGCCACGCACAACTCTACAGCGTGAGATCATTTTTACTATATGCACCTGGAGGTCCCCGCACATCTCCATTGGAAAAATTTGTTGACAAGAGAAAAAAGAAGCACGGTTTGCTTTTTATTATGTCACTAGGCAATGATTGGATTAGCTGGGTATTGGTCGAGAGTGTTGCTGTGGATATTAATATAATTTTAATAATTATAAATATTGTGATATTCAAGATTTGTAAAGTAATACAGCTCTGAATAACCCAAAACAGCAACCACAAGTCTCTCCGTCATCTTCAAAAGTCTCTATTGTTGTTGTGACAACACAAACACTGCTGTCACCTCAACAGAAACCCCGCCTCTGCTTTCCTCTGATTGGAGAATGAAATAGACGTGACTGACGTAATGCTCCTTTTCCGCTCAGAGTTGAACTGCGAGCACACAGCACACAAGGGCAAAAACGCAAGGCGCAGTAGGCGGTTGAAACGCGAGGCGCGCATAAGCGGTGCACAAAACACTTGCGGCTGTAACATAGCTAATTTTCCATCGCTAATTTTCCATCGGTCTGAGTAAATGACGTAATTAATAGTAGAGTCAAGCTTTAAATAGGAAAATTATCTAAACTTTATTGAAATTGTTTGAGTGAGATACTAATGGTCTGCTCAGATTCAATGATTTTTGCTATGCAAAGCAAAAAGTGCGGTCGACAGACCTAGAGATCAGCTAAACGGATTCAAAAAAGGTAAAAGTCAACTGTTACAACTCTAGGCTTGTAAAAAAGGCTTGTTTAAAGTTGTAAAATCTTCAGTCTATTTCCGTAAAAATGAGTGTTCAACAAACTCTGGCTGCATTGATTACACAGGTCAGGTGTAGGAGCTCCAGTGGTTGGTGATCTGGATGGACAGTATAACCATGACAGCAGGAAAAACATCCTGGAATGGTCACTTCCTGTAATCGACGAGAAGAACAAGAGTGGCAGCCTGGAGTTCAGCATAGATGGCAAACCCAATGACTTCTTCCCAATCAACGTCTCTTTTGTCTCCAAACGCAACTTTTGTGACATTCAGGCAAGTTGAGCAGCAAGCACGACACCAAAAATGAATCCCAGGAAAAAAAAATATGACTTCACATTTATCTTTTGTCCACAGGTTGCAAAGGTAACATATGTAGAAGGAGGCAGCCCAGTCAAATTCTCCTCAGAGACGTCATTTGTTGTGGATAAGTATGAGATCCTGTAACTGTTTCTTGGTGGAAGATCCTTTTAACCAGCGCAGTGGATCAGAGAGCGAGCTATATGTTAACGGGAACACTCTCTGACATGGGCTGCAGTTCTTCTGTGTTTCTGTTTGTCTTGAAGGAAAAAATAATCTACCTTTATATAAACTGGACCTTTTAGCTGCACAGTACTACAGTACAGTCAGCTACACCTGACAGGAAAGTCAAATACAGCACTGCACCCGAAGATATCATGGGAAACTCAGTGTCATCCTACAGCAGATGTATTATAAGCCCATAACAACCTTCCTGACCCAGAGTAGAATAAATTGGGACATGTACACACGTGTTGCATGGGTTTTGTATAGAATCGCAACCTTATTGGCTTTTTTTTGGTTCCTATACTACATGATCTGCATTTATCTTGACAGTTTGGTTTTATTTCTAATAATGAGTTAAAAGAATAAATGGTGGTGTTGTGTAATATGGAAGCAGACCTAATATTGTAGTACCAAATGAATGTGTGGGTGGTTAAATCAGCTGTGCTTGTGCAATAAGAACTGACGCTGCATTAAATATGCAGTCCAAATTCATCCCTCATCTGCTGTTGGTGAATATGAGCATAATTGTCTACATCAACAAAAAGCACAAACGCTATTTGCCTTTTAGCATCTTCCCCCCATTTTGTTTGTATTCAGTTATATTTATGTAATCATTTGTTTAGATTAACAGAATCTAAACGGGATGATTTTTCATTCTGTTGTTTTGTAAGTAATGTTACACGTAATCTCTTTAAATGTTTCCTGCTTTTTATTCATTGCAGCATTTATTTGGCTAAACAGGAAAATATATTATCTCCGGCTTCCCAGATGTTATTAAGAATGGATTTATTATTATTTTTTTTGTATTTCCATAACATAAAATATGTTTATCAGCGCACACTCAAAGATGATTGCGAAATGCCAAGGAGAGGCTTACGACATTCCATTCTGCTGTAAGATACTTATGAATACCTTTAATCAATAATAAAATCACATTTAAATTCAGATTTACTTCCTGAGCCCTTCTTGCTTTTATATTACATTTTTTGGAATACAGTAGTTGTATTGTACTGTATGTGGGTCACAGATAAAAGGAATCCTCAACATCAAAAGACTAATATGTAAAAGATTCAATACTTCAGAATGCGCCCAGTGTTTTTTTATTTTTTACCAAATAATAATGACTGTCATACATGTTTACTGTTTTATAGATGTTAATTAACCTGTCATTTATTGTGGCTTAGCTTTTTAAAAACATCAATAATTTTTTAAAAGGCTATTTAAATGCCACAGTACAGCCTCAAATTACTTATTTTCATGTTTAAACTTCATTTAACATGTAATAACATTTTAAATTACACTCACCGGCGACTTTATTAGATACAACTGTCCAACTGCTTGTTAGCACAAAATTCTAATCAGCCAATCACTTGCATGGTTTCTGCTACATTCATTCTTCCATGGCGGGGCACCAGGCTAAAATTGATCCCACCATGGCTACATTACAGCTTTTCATTCAAAATGTTGTTTTATTTTGGGTTTTTTTTTTATAGCGGGTGATAATCGCACCAAAACTTATTAAAAGGTAAGTGAATTATAACAGCGAAAACTTTTCTGTAACTGTAGTAGTGCTGTGCGTTATTTGTTTAACCTTTTAAGGTTATTTGCTGACTAACTGACAGGTGCGAGAGGCCAGCAAACACGACGTATAGCTGTTACACTTCAGGATGCATTAATCTCGCTCTATAGGTCTATTGGGAATATTCATAAATATTCCTTGCAAATCTACTAAATGTTGGAGACGTACTTGTTACACAAACCCTCTAAATCACACTTCAGCAGCGTTTAATTGAGAGCTTACAAGAAAATCTGCACTTGAGCAGCGTATGTTTGATGGGGCGTGCAAGAAGTTTTGTGCACGAGCAGAGGAAATCGATGCGCAAGCATAGAGTTTCGCATGCTCGTAGGTTAATACATAAATGTGATTTCTAAAATAAAAAAATCACATTCTAAAATACTGCACTTATGAAATTTGTCATTGATTCATTGGTAGATCTGTGTAAAAAAAGGCCTGCCACCACAGCTGGAAAAAATCCTAGATGAAACACTGACATGGCATCAACTCAATGCATTTAGGCATGTAGACATGGTCAAGCCGATCTGCTGCAGTTCAAACTGAGCATCAAAATGGGGAAGAAAGGTGATTTAAGTGATTTTGAACGTGGCATGGTTGTTGGTGCCAGACGGGCTCACCTAAATTGGACGACAGAAGATTGGAAAAACGTTGCCTGGTCTGATGAATCTCGATTTTTGTTGTGACATCCAGATGGTAGGGTCAGAATTTGGCATTGACAACATAAAAGCATGGATTCATTCTGCCTCGTATAAATGGTTTAGGCTGGTGGTGTAATGGTGTGGGGGATATTTTCTTGGCACACTTTGGGCCCATTAATACCAATAGAGCATTGTGGCAATTCCACAACCTACCTGAGTATTGTTGCTGACCATGTTTATCCCTTTATGACCACAATGTACCAATCTTCTGATGGCTACTTCCAGCAGGATAACTTACCATGTCATAAAGTGTGAATCATCTCAGACTGGTTTCTTGATCATGACAATGTTCACTGTACTCAAATGGCTTCCACAGTCACCAGATTTCAATCCAATAGAGCACCTTTGGGATGTTCGCATCAGTTTGCAAGGAGATTCGCATCGTGGATGTGCAGCTGAAAAATTTGCAGCAACTGCATGATGCTATCATGTCAATATGAACCAAAATCTCTGAGGAATATTTCCAGTACCTTGTTGAATCTCAGCCACGAAGGATTAAGGCAGTTCTGAAGGCATAAGGGGGTCCAACCAGGAACTAGCAAGGTGTACCTAATAAAGTGAATGTATTTGTTTTATACAAGCAGGTCAGAATCAATTTTTAACTTAAGTTACACTCACTGACATCATTACTTGACCTTTTTTTCTTTTCAATTTGTGTGTGGGGGTGGGGGGGGTGTATTTAATGCTTTTTTTTCCCTATATATAAAATCACTGAAGTCAACACCAAAATATGTCGTCACACTTTGACCCACATGTATTAGTTGCGCTTGTTAGGTCAAGTTTGTTTTAAATCCCCAACCCTACGTATTAAAATCATCCCACATCTTTAAATCATGTGGCTTGCGTTTAACTGTCCAACAACTGTACAGCAATCGGCTAAAACCCTCAGACACGGTCGATTGCTTTCATTGTTTTACTGTACGTCTGGTGAGTATTAACTGTCATAAGGGAATTGAATGGTCAGCCCTGATTTAGTCATGAGTTAATGGACTGGGAGCTTGTTCAGGATTCGTACAGGAATGTGAGGAATCCCAGAGACATGGCAATGGCATTTAGAGTTGATAATGCATTATTTGGTTGAGCAGACAAGATCCCTGCCAATTATTCACTTCCCCAGGCAGTGGTGATGGGCAGCTTGTCTCACAGAGTTATGAAGAGTCATATTATTCACATTTGCTTTGACTGGCCCTTGACTATTCAGTTCTGTCTGATTATGGTTTTCTTCTGGCAGATGATGTTGCGTAAGGATGCTAAACTCATGTGTTTTACACTTAAAAAAAAAAAAAAAAAACCTAGATTTGCAATTTGTTCAAACTACTTGTTTAAATTGAGCTAAAACAACGCAATTCTAAAGTTATTTTGGGGACAATTAATTTTTTTTATATTCAATCCACCTAAATTTGTGTATACTAACAAGTTAAATTAATTCCTTTATGTTTTCCCAACACAATTATGTGAAACCCAGCATTTTTTACAGTGGCCTTCTGTGGTATTTGTATGTCACACAAAACAGTAAGTGGGATCAAATATCCATTTAGTTATTCTTCAGGTAAGTAATTATGTGTTAGGAGAAATGATGATGTTTAAAAAAAATTTAAATGTTTAAAATGTGCCCTTTTAAATGATGGTACATATTCCCCTCTGCTTTTATAGTCTTGGTTTGAGTTGAAGTTTCAATTTAACAATATACAGCAGGGGTCTTAAACTGCCAGCCCGTGAGGCATTTGAGTATGTATGTCTATAAATGCTCTTGAATATTTTTGAAAATATTCATGGGTCATTTGATTATAATGTATTGTGTATTATGTTGTAAAAACACATCTCCATGGCTTATACGTTATGATGGTGCTGTAAATATGATGATTTTGCTAATATTCTATTTAAATGTTCTCATTTAATAGATTTTTCTCATTTACATATTAGGATTTGTATAAAAATTGTGCATTAGTAACAATAGACTGCTGGCTGACATGTTTAAGTAAAAGGACAGACAGACAGACAGAGAGAGCTCTTTGTTGTAGTTTTACAAAAAAATAAATAAATAAATATGGGAATAATGGGAAATATTTAAAAAAGAAAAAAAAATCAAAGGGAGGGCTAATAATTCTGACTTCAACTGTATATTCATCTAGTGTAAATCTCTTCATAGTTAATACAACCTGTATATAATGATCTTAGTACACCCATCTGTAAATATCACCATAGTTTTTCAATTACTGCACGTTATAACTTATATACATCTATCCTGCGCTTGCTGCTATTGCATTCCTGGTTATATCTAAACTACATTTTGTTGCTTTGTACATGTGTAATGACAATAAAGTTGAATATAATCTAATCAAATTCTAATTTACTCGTTGCACTTGTAGCATTTTTACATTTATTTTTTCTTTAATTTCAAGTCTAAATAACAAAAGTTATTTGTCTAAATAACCCCCCTCCACCCCACCAACAGCATTGTTTTTCTATCCCTAGTAGCAATGACAGCTGAACTGTTGACCTTTCCTCGATTTGTCATAAATGTGTGCTGCTTTATATTGTAAATCTCACAGCTGAATTCTGTGACCCACATCTACAGAGATGATGATCTGTATGTGAAACACTGGCTATCTGCTAGAATCTGCCTGTGTGTTTGATGTTGCCTCTAATCCAGGAGGAAAGTTTTAGGGCAAGGCTGAGAAAGCAGATTGAGACACTGATTTGTGGGCTTGATGAAGGGACTGAAGGGTGTAGCCGCTCCAATAGGGACTCCAACAGATCTGTGCTGACCTAATTTCCTATCTGATCTCTTGAATAATGAGGTGAAGTTTGACCATGCGGGAGATTGTGTCTGATATAAACAGACCAGAGATGCACTGATCCATGGGAAAGAAATCAGAATTCTGGCAACTTTTTGCTCCAAACATTTACCATACCATACCATTACCGTGTTTTTTTGGTTTGTTAGTTTTAATTCAGCCAATATCTTCTTCCAGACTTGCAAACAAAATGCATTGCAGTTGATTTTTTGAGAACAGCAGAGTAAAAATACAAGAATTTCTGCAAATCTTGTGCAAAGACTTTCATTCATTTCATACTTTGCAATTAATGAAATAAATACATGAATTGATGTATTAAACAAAAATATTGTATGAATACACTGCAAAAAAAAATGCTTTTTCTTAGGGTTTTTGTCCTGTTTCTGGTCCAAATATCAAAGAATTCTTCATTTTCTAGAATATATATATATATATATATATATATATATATATATATAAAATAACATTGATTAGGGGTGTAACGGATCACGGTTGAGGGATGTCAAGATCGCAAGATCGGGATCTCAATGCCCACTTAACAAATTATAAATGATGGTGATTTGCATATGTTTATTAACATCACTGCATTCAAATCTGAAAACATGATCTGAAAAAGAGATTGAGTCTAGTCTTTTAAGTTAGTTATGAAGTTACACAAAGTCAATTGACACAAAAGTACTTGGATAATAGTTTATAGTTTAGATAAAGCCACTGATGTTTATGGTAAAGATTAAAATCACCATCATATGCATTTAACTTAATGCTATAAAATGAAAGTTGTAGGCAGCAATTACACTATTTAACCAATAGGTGGCCATCAAAATTATGCCACTGAATAGTTTTTAAAAAATAATACATTTAACAATAAAGCAT